CAACAAAACAAAAAACTATTTATTCACAATGAGACGACCCTGGAATCAGTGTTTCTGTCCGAGAGCCAATTGTTTGGCTGTCAAAACACTAAGAACTGGTGATAGATTAGGCACTGGGCCCGAACGGGCCCTGAAACTGTCTTGGTGGTAAAGGAGTAACTGTATATACCCAGGCTATACTACACTCATCCATACATACATAAAGCACCTAATCATAAAACTAATATATTATACTGCTACATTTCATCATCTCTCTCTTATCATGCTGCACTTTATAATAACTTAAAATCATCTGGAAGAGTTGAAGGAAGTGGACTTGGTGGTCAGTCACCTACCTGCTGTATGAGACTGATAAGGCTATGCCCAACAGGATGATGGACAGTATGTGTCTCCACAGCAAGTCCACACATCGAGCATTGTTCGTTTGATGCATTCTGAAAGAAGAGATGAGGATGAGCTCACATCATGGCATCTACTTCATGTGAAGGTGGAATGAAAACATCTGATGAGTTTTTTTTTTTTAAATGCAATTAATGTAATAATGAAATACATGCTCTGGAATAAACCCATTAAATAACAGATGTAAATTTAACATGAATACAAGGAAATCAATAGTGAGCCTGGGGTCTTCATGACAACTATTCAACATTACAGGAAGTAAAAATGTTTACTCTTACTCACCTCAAATAAAGGAAAAGAAAGAAGTAAACAACAAAGAACCAGATAAGTTGGGAGTGAGCGGAGGGCATCCCATAATCTGAGTACAGGTTTGTGTGAGCCCCTGCAGAAAGACAACACAATCTCATGTAAACATTTATTTACTACAATGAGTTCATCTCAATAGTTAGTGTTCGATCAAAACTATCAACTCAACCACCATCTATGACTAAGAGTCAATAAGAACTACAAACAAATGTCTGGCTAGGGTTGGGTGATAAAACAGTCAAATCTATTTAGGAAGACTTTTATATTTAAATTCTTCTAAAGCTTCATGTAACAGTTTTCATTAACAAGACATGAGAATGTGTAGAATATCGTACTGTCAGCATCTGACCTAAAACAAACAAGATGAAGATAAACCACATAACTGAACTCGAGATAAGGGGTCACTGACAACAGAGGATGTTTTTGTACCGTTGCCCAACCCTGCCACAAACTTCAGCTAAAGCCAACAGCTCCTTCACTCACCTGCACACGGACGTGGCTCTCTGAGAATGTGCTTCAGCAGCCAGTTCACCCCATCATTCAGCACCACCCCACCAAAGAAGGAAATCTGCATTTAAAAACACAACACAGGTCGACACGTGAGCACTTTGAAACGTGTGGCTTGTCTGACAAGCATGTGAGTCACTTGACAACTTCTCAAGACTGTCTTTTAAAATGTGATGATGCTCTTTTCCGGGAAATCCAACTCCACTCGTGCATGTGCAGGACTCACCGTGTGCAGCTCCCGTTTGAACACTATGAGCGTGACAAAGCCCACGAGGATTGCTATGGGCAGGAGGCTGATGTAGGCCAGCACTTGTCCCGTCAGATCGTCTGCAACACAGAGACACAGTGATGGCGTTAGAACCCCGGTACAGTCAGCTGGTGGTGGGAGTGACACTGTGAGACTCAGTGAACCCGGATGGCTGAAACAGTGATGCAGCAGTGACCACAGGCAGGAAGCGGCTGTGCCGGAGCAGCTGCACCTTCATCTAACAGACCATAATAGCTCATTAGGTCGGTTAGAGCAGCTTGGTGTTATGCTCGCTGTACTCAACAGTGTCCGACCAAAGAGCTAGCCACTGCGTTTGCATTACTCCTAGCTACAATGCTACACAGGTGAACATCTAGGTGCGTCCACCACAGTCACAAATCATGTTGAACTTTTCTTACCGCCTTTCTTTTGTTAGATATTTCTCACAAGACACGACCCGCTCGCTAACTCCTCGTTAATTCTACCAAAGTCGATGTTGAGGCAGCTAGCAGGCTAGCTAGCCTTCATTGTGGACATTGCTGCTAGCTGCGCATGCGTGGCTGTCTCACAATTTGGCAGTGCAGGCTGCGTTCCCCTGCTGCGCTCGGGCTTTTTACCGAGGCTCACAATTTGGCAGCGTCGCCAACGGCCGCGTCCATTCATGGTGCGAGAAAACCCGACGAGCTGCGGTCAGACAACCAGCGGCCGACGGACCGAGGAGCTTCGGCGGTCAGAGACAGATGTGGAGTGTACGTACCCTCCGGGAACTCGACGTGTGTCAGAGATATTGACCGCCATCGAGGTGGTGCCGAGCACTGCTCCTCCGCCGCCATCTTACCCGGACACAGCCGGGCAGTCCCAGCGACACGCCCCACACACGTGTCCGACCAATGGCGAGCCGAGCTGCGTGTTCAAACGGGCGCCGGCAGCCGAGCAGCCGTCCAATCACAGCAGCCCAGCGGAGGAACGCGCCTCAGCCCATAGAGGAGAATTATTGAATGAACGGGAAACACAAAGTGCAGCTCTGCACCTTAAAGCTCCCATCATGCTCTCATTCAGGAAACACAGGGATTCATGAATGAACTCAGGTCACAAATCATCTTCCACACGGGACAACTCACTGTCAGCTATGTGCCCCTCTGTGTTTTAATATTATCAAATGTATATAAAGATGGAGGACGCCACTGCTTTCCAAAAGTGAAGCCAAAGTCTCATGATCGCCATCTGGTGGCTATCTGCAATTTGGGTCATAAGTCCCGCCTCCTCCTCCTTGTAAATCAATCTTCGGACATGTCCTGTGGGTAAACTCCGGAGCAGTGGCTGCAGAGTTTACCTGCAGTTTGCCTTCACACATGCACAACACAGCGGGAGGTTTTCTGCACAGAAACGTTCACGTCAGGTGGAGGAGCCGGGTGCAGCAGACAGAGGCAGGAAGTGACGTGTTAACTCCGCTGTGGAGATCACATTATTTAATTGACAACACACATATAATTTCCTGACACTTAAATCAACACCATTGTTTAATAGGTCAGTTGAAAGCAATTCCAAAGAGTGGGACTGCAACTAGTGATTTTTTCCATCACTGTTCTAAACAATATCTCTCTCAACTAAACAATAGTGTAGTCTATATAATGTGGAGATTACTGTTGGTAACATTATGTCCCTCAAATATTTTTATGAGCATTACTAGTATTCATGTTTCTATTTTATGTGAACGTCTGGTAATTTTTTTTGTCCATTGAAATTAGATTATGCATCAATCGATAAAATTTTATTTGGATATATTCACCGATCACAATTTGTCTCATCGGGCTTAAGAAGGAGCAACATCCTCTGTCCTTAACATGAGTGAGTAAAAAACTATCAATTTAACTATTAACGTGAGGGATCCCGGGACGGACGGAAGAAGTGCAATAGATGTCGCCTCCCATAATTTGAGGAGTAGAGCACTATACTGATACTAAATTCATGTTTAACACAGCCTATCCAAATGAGTTACAAATAGCCTTAAACATGGAAATTCAAATTCAAATAGAGCAGGTAGAAGATTTATAGATAGATATTATGTATTCAGTCATACACACAGCAGACAAACACACAGGCCTCTTACAAATGAACAGAAAACAGGAAAAACTTGAACAAGTGCAAATTTACCTGTTTTCCAGTTGGAGTAACTGTGAACTCTGACGCAAAAATAGATGTGAACAGTCTGCAAAGTGCAGGAGAAAATGAAAAGCACGATAGGATTTAAGAAAGATGTCGTGCAGGGTATGTGAAGATTTTGTGATTATGTTTATCAAGGACAAAATTTATTTTAATATCATTGCAAATGCTTCAAATCCTTTTAATACTGAG